TCAGCATCGCTAACCACTATCTCAATTGGGCGGCATCCACATAAATGGGGGTCTGTTTAAAATTTATCCAACATCATATTGATGGTTTCTTTAATAACAGAGCTGACTCTATCTTATTTTATTTTATTTTGTATTAGAAATAAAATTTCTTGAGTTTTCTGAAGCACGGCTTTCTTCTCGGCTTTGTTCAATATTTTTAATGTTAAAACAAAAAATCAGAAAATTTATCCTCAAACGAATTCCAAAAAGCAGTAATTTAATGAAGGCTCCTAGCCCGCTCCTTGTTGAGGAATTGCAATATTTCGTAATCACTCCATCTCCTTCTTTCATTTTGTATTCTCGATTGATTTGAATGGAATTAACATTTTGCTGTTTTAACTTGCAGGCACGTCAGTCTCAATGAGTAAATAGAAACATCACAAGCTTGTTTACTGATATATGTTTAGTATACATATTAGAAGCCAAATTTAGTAAATGAGTAAAATTAATGGCTATACTTGATTAAATCATAGTTTCTTCCACATGAAGCGTATCAAAATTAATAAACGCTGCTAAGCCTTTGTAACAGCTATTAGTACATAACTGTTAAAATCAATAATCAATAGAAAGCATTTGCAATTCTAACAGGAAGTACTGTTCATTTCAGAAAAAAACCTGAAAGAGAAAATGCTGATATAAGATATTACAAAAGTAAAAAATAAATAAATAAAACAGGTGAATAAACAGAAATAAAAACCGAAATTGATCATTGTCTTTTATGCGCACAATAGACAAGACCTTATAACTGCCATGCTCTCAAACCCAATCATGAAAAATATAAATTAAAATTTCTTTAAAATATTTAATATTCTGGAGGAAAATGATAACTGAATGATTATTTTTGGTTAATTTCTATGCTATATGACAAAAATTGCTCTCTAAGGATAGAAAGAGATCAATATAGAGAGTCAGTAAGAAAAATATTAAGAATCTTAACAAGTTAGGATTCATTAAAATATACGAATAACTTAAGGCTATTTTGAAGCCATAATGCAATTTTTATATTTACCTCTTTCTTTTATTACATTGATGTTATATGGCAAGTATATAAACAGACAGATACAATTATGTTTTTAACTTTCTGAATGTTATCTTATTCCTATTTAATAATAATCTAATAACTTCATATTATTCTCTACTCACAAAACATCCCTTCATCCCATAAAAAATGGAAGCTGCGTAATTGCATTCTGTAGCAAAAATTATGTTGACAGACTTTAGAGAATGCATAATAAAGCATCAATAACTGCTCATAAAAAAATTACCTTAGTTCTTATTGCTGTTAAGGTCAACTGCTAGATTTCAGTCTCATTTGTTTAACAATGAAGAACAAATATACAAGCTTTTGAATATATTTCTAAAGCTCTAAATTTTTTTCATACTTTAATGATACATGCTTCAGCGAACGAATGGCTTTCAGAACAAATCGGTGGAGTGGAAATAAAAATGAAACGTTTCTGTTTCGTCTAACATATATTTCTCTCAACAATTTTTGTTTGTTTCTTTAAATTTCCGAACTGCCAGCATCAGACTCTACAAAAGTGATAAAAGAAATATTTTACTTCTTCCTTTCGCAGAAATCTTCCACTGATTTAAGAAACTTCTCCTTCATTGAGATTACATCTGATTCCCGCTCCTTTCGTGAATATCAGAATTATTTCGACCATTAACACAGATACCTTAACCATCTAATTTTGCAAGAAAATAGACATATTTGTTAATTAACATTTCACCGAATCATTAGTATTTATCTTCTTCGCAGTTGAATGTTTAATAAAATCTTCACTTTGGTAACGACGGTTTACATATTTCAGGGTTGTTTGGTTTGACTAAATCGTTTTTCTTGATGCGGTTACATTAAATATCTAAAAATAGTTCTGTATCATTTTTAACTGGCACTTGAAATTCTAATAAAAGTGCACAATAAAAGAGAATTCCTACCTGTTATGATATTAGACACAACTTTAGCGCAGTCTTCGATATTAAAAACACATTTAACACGCTAAGCCGAAATGTTACGTTACGCTACCACGCCATTTATGCCTTGTGCAATCTGGCACTTACTGGCATTGCATGAGGCATAGGATTTTTAATTTACCTATCTTTCCAGCAGCTTAGCAAACTATATTTCAGAGGGCTTCCATTCAATGATGCGTGGGATTTCAAATTATTACTGTATTGCCTTATGCAACTGTGCTATTTAATAATAGCATTACATGATAGTTAAAATTTTCACGAAAGTTTCTGATTAATGTATCTAATTAATACAATTTACAATACATTCAGCTGTAAATTATGAACTGTTACAAATTCGTAAAACAGTTCCCGAATATCTATTTCTAACACTTTGAATTATATGTCGTTGTATAGGATTGTTTAGATTTTGAAAGAATTTTCAACAAGTTAGTATGAAAACTTTTACTCTGCAAGGATACGAATATAACATTTAAAAAAAAAGAAATTTAACTCTTATTTAATCTTACTCCTTAGAATACAAATTTACTTTACTGCATTTTTTCCATCAACGCACTAGTTTGTTTAGCCAAGTTTCACCTTAAAGAAAATAGAAATACCATGGGTATAATTGTTTCGTTTAAATAAAATCTTTATATAAGCCTTACGGAATTTTTTTTTATCTGAGCCAGCCTAGGTGTGACTCATTCCACTAGCTGAGGAGGAAAAAATTATCATTTGAGATAATGAATCTTTCTATTCTGTATATATATATATATATATATATATATATATATATATATTATACGCTTCTAAACCTCTTTATTTACTGTTTCGACTGAAATGGGTTTAAAAATGGAGAATAAAAAGTAGCACCTTAAATGCGAATGACAGCCTTATGCTAACCATAAGTTTTTTAACAAGATATTAAAAATCAAAATGTTCTTCAAACTGGCTTTAAACTAATTCATTTTTAAGCTCTACTAGAATTAATGAATGAAATACAAAATACTTAATGTATTAATAAATAACATTTGTTACTTTGTAAGCTGTTACCATGAAACTCAGGTTACTTTTTTTTTTTATAAGAAATGGTCTCCATATATTGTTAGTGATAAAAAGTTAAATAACGCCACTGAGCAAGATTAATTCCTAGCTTTTTCTTGTGGTTCATTTCATAAAATTAAATAATGGTATTTATTTTTAATCGTTACAACTAAATAGATACCGATTGTATGAAAATTAGCAAACAGTTATAGTTCTGTCTAGAGTTCGCCAGATTTTCGTATTTTTAATTGGCGGCAACGTAATAATTGTCTTCATACAGTTTTTATGATGCTTTTGTGGAGCCTTATGAAACCTTTTGGGGAGATTATATTAATAAACTGTTACTATCAAAGTTTTACATAATTAGTTAATAAAACAAACACAAAGAAAGCTAAACATAAAATATTTTCCATTGACTTTTATTCCATGCGTATATTTATATTTTCAGTTTTAATATTTCAGGCATCAGTGGTTTGGGGGATAAAAATGAAAAGGATATATTGCTTGATGGAAAATGGGAGACTTTTAGCATTTACGTCTAGTATAATCTCCTTCGAACGCGAAATTCTATCGACATAGAATTTCCTTTTCCTTGGTATTTAATATTGTAGCGAATATTTATATTCCCCTCTTTACATTTTTCGTCTTTGATTTAATTTTAATTTATATCAAAAGGCAGTCTATACTTAAACATTTTGGGGAAACAGTATTAAGTAAAAATATAGGTGTAAGCCTCTCTTCATATTCCAGTGAAAAATATCTTTTTCTATCTTTAAAACTGAATACATTAAATTGAATTTGATAAACACGATTTTTATATCTCATAAATGCTAATTTTAATTACATTCTTAACAAGAGAAACGTAATGTTTCTCCATAAAAGTGCCCAAGAAATAAGCAATTTACTGACTAATATGGAAACACAAGCTATTTCTGACTATTAAGGATACATAAGTGAAAGGATATTATTATATAAAGTAAAAGAATGTAACACAGACTATGTTAATATATTTAAATAATCAGTTCCAAACTTAAAACATGTGTGAGAACTTACTGATGAGAATACTTCATGTACAAATATTTATCTAACAGCAATTTCAGTCATCTAAAACCTTTATGAAAAGTTAATGTGTAAACGTCATCGGTTCTTTCTTCTTAACGATGCGGTTTTTTTCATATAGATTTAATTTCCATCAATAAAAGCATTTTAGAAGTACTTTTAAGTTGATCCTGAAAAACAATTTTCAGAATTATGTGACTTGAACTGCTTTTCTAATGAAAGCAAATGGGAAAACATGTCTATTTTAGCGGCATAATCAATAAAAAAATTATAGCAACTAAATGTATTTTTCTTTTCTCAGCTCTGTATACTAGAGTTTCAAACTCGTACTTAAATATTCAATTTTGTCTGACATGGGAGATTTCTTTTAATAATTTGCTTTTAGAAATTTACTTTCATTAATTTTTCTTAACATGTACTCTTCTCAAAATTTTTAGCACCAAAACTATCGATCCGCCAAAAATATTGCATTTTAACGCTTGGTTGAAATTGGTGAAAGTTAATCATCAGCACTTCTAGCATTAATTAATGACACTTCAGTTTTAGCTTTGATCATATGAAGATAAACAGTTTTTCCGTTTGACTAATTGAGTTATAACAAAACCTTTTCGATTTCGAATTTTTTACAGGGTACATAAAAACATTTTTTCTAATATGTCTATTAAAATACGTCATTTCACCCAAATTCTCGCGGTCTGAAAGTTTACGTTGTTTCACTCATTTTTTTAACTGAATGAATATATGATTGATCATTACAGCGATTCTTATGAGTCACGCAATCATTTTACACCGATATGTCTATGACCGATATGTCTATATTTAAGATAAATGTGTATATAAGTATTAAATCACTGACTATGAATTAAAAACTTATATCTGACAAGTTTTATTCTTTATTTTAGACTTTATCGCAGAATGTCTAACTCGACGTTGTTCTACATTCCAACGCATATATCGCTGAATCTGAAAGTAAGTGTGAGTTCTGAGGCTTTTAAAATTCTCGGCTCGAATTATCACTTTACAGTCATACATGTGAAATTTATTTATTTATTAATTATAGGGCATTGACGATTATTCGTTTGACATATTTGCTTTAAATGAAAAAGCAAATGGGCAAGGTCTTCGCTATTTAGCATATGATTTACTCAATCGGTATGGAATAACTCATAAGTTCAAGGTAAGAGGTATTTTTTTACTCTTTCTCTGCGCGAAACAGTAAAAGTGTATTCTTTACTGTTTCGCGCAGTAAAAATGTATTCTTGTAAACTGATTTTTTCCATTTTAATTTATTAATGTTATTAATTAATCCCATTAATATTATTAATTAATAGTTTTCTTTAATAAAGAATAATGTTAAAATGATTCAGTCAAATAACTTTTTTATTGAGGTCATTGCTCTCTTATTAGATATATTGTTTAACGGCTTTCTTTGAAGGTGATAAATATTTAAATGGCTAGATCACTCGCATTTGTATTTTTGACCGTCCAAAATGCAATAACATTTTATTCTAAACTTAAATATATTTTTTTAATTTTGGCTCAAATAGAAATCAAATTTTAATTAATATTACGCATAATCTTAAAACTTCTAAGAATGAAGCTACAAAAAAAAACATTTACAGTCACTTTTTGAACATAATTTTCCAGTATTTTTTAAAATTATTATTTATTTTATAGCGAGAAATGCCTTTTAGATCATTTACTTTTCTATTTCTGAACGAAAACGTTTTCTTCTGCTTGAGAATTTCATAATAAAGTAAAATTCACAGCATAATTAGCAATGAAATTTAGAAAAGATGGACTGAAATTTAAAACCTGTTGAATATCTGCAGTTTGGGTATATTTTCTTAAACGCATGATCATTTTTGATCAGAATCAAATGATTTTACAAATATGAGATTATTTACTGGTGTTAATCTATTACAGTATATAATACTAAGAAAGAATGAATACTCCTCGTCATATTCACAAATTAACAAAGATTTTGTCATATTTTTATAAATGTATATGTTCTTTACTTTTTAAATTAAATAAGATCCGATGACAAGTAATTCTAATTAATTTAAAAATTTGCAAAATTTTGCGAGCTAGTGCTCTTTTCAGAATGACTGAAAAGAGCACTAGAATTAGTAGCCGAAAGAAAAGAATTAGTAGCCGTAAGATTTTATTGTATCCAAATTTGTACTTCAGTTTAAACATATCAATAAATAGCACTGTACTAGAACAGTTATTTTTATATTGTGCATTATTAAACTATAGATAGTACCAAAATTATTCATGGCGCAAAATGAATACATAGATAAATAATTTTTATGTATGTTAATCTTATAATATACTTCTTGCGGTATTTGTGTATTGTAAAATTTCTCGGTGTTATTCATTATATTTAATGAATTTAACTTGTATTACTTGAGCGTAATACACTGACTTGTCTATATTTAAGATATAAAAAAAGAAAAAATTAAGCACGAAAATGTAAAATGCAAAAACACAATCACCAAATGCTGATTGGATTGACACAAAATTCGGCAGGAAAGTAGCATATATATTTATGCATAAAACAAAATCAATAATTACATACAGAAATGAAAACAATATTAAATTTTTGTAAGTTATCAGATAATGGACATATTGGAGACGTAAGCAGAATTATGTATAAAGTGAAAAGAAACAGCATAAAATGAAAAAAAGGATATTATTAGGGTATGTGATCCCCCCCCTCATCTGTATACAAAGTTTACAACCTTGTGGCCATGCTTTCAATTAGGTGCTCAACCACCGCAGAATTAAGCAATCGCCATTCTTCTTGTAGAGCAGTTTTCAGCTCAATAACAGAGGCTGGAGGTGGGAAACGTGAAGATACAGCACTGCAGAGAGCATCCCAAAGATTTACAATAGGATTAAGATCGGGCGAATATGCTGGCCACGCCATACGCGCAATCCCTTCACTCTCCAGGTAGTCATCGACGATGTCGGCTCTGTGGAGACATGCGTTAACTTCCATTAAAACAAAAGTGGGGCCAACTGCTGCGACATGCAATCTCACAATGGGATCTAGGACTTCATCTCGATACCGAACAGCCGTCAAAGAACCCCGTTTAAAGATGTGCAGGTCGGTGCGGTATCCTAATGAAACCCTGCCCACACCATAATGCTTCCGCCTCGGAATGCGCGATGTTCGGTGACGTTTTGGGACTGAGTGCGTGTTCATTGTTCACGCCATATCCTTATACGCTTGTCATCTGGCTCCAGAGCAAATCTTGACTCATCATCAAACATGACACTGCCCCAGTCAGACACATTCCAATTGACATGTTCCCGGCACCACTGTAATCGTGTCCCTCTTGATTGGACGTATAGAGGAACACAAACTCGAGGTACCCGGGCGTACAGTCCACTCATATGTAATCTTCGGCGTACAGTAGCTGCAGATATCGCCTTACTAATGGACGCTGTAACCATAGATGCCACATGTGTGGAGGTCGCTCTGCGATTCCGCTTGGCTACAATAGCAATATATCGATCTTCCGCGGGGGGGTTGTAACCCTTGGGCGACCGGCTACGGGCCTTTGGACAACTGTCTGTGTGGTTTGGAATTGTTTCTATAAACGTGAAATTACAGAATGATGAACGCCGAAGAAAATAGAAACATGTGTGATCGACTGTCCTGCTTCAATGCACCCCACAGCACGCCAGCGCTCAGAATCTTCCATTCGTCTTCTGGAAGTCATAGAAACACGTATGTCTTGAAAACAAATTGTACGAAAGTTTTAAACACCTTCTATCAGCACTTCTGTAACCCTTCATAAAGCTGGCTTTACATAAGACTGCCTTTTTTGCATATTTCTTGACATGAAAGTGCGATTGGCTGTTACCTAACATATTTGCATACTTCCATCTACCTCTGCAGCGAATTGCATCCTCTTCAATTCAGATTGGCTTCCGGAAATTAGCATTTTCCTCTCCGTGCTTAACTTTTGGAAGCGAGTGTATATTTTTAAACGATGACACTTTACGTTTTACTAAAAATCATGAAGTGCATTATAAATACTTTGCATTTTTTGAGCAATTGCATCTATAGTCACATGGAAGGTCGCAAAAGTAATGTCAAGAAATTGCGAAAATGTCAACATGTCACAAGGTCGTAGGTGAAACTGGAAAAGCCTTGTTCTAAAATACGTACATTGCTGACAATTAAAATTGCTACGCCATAAACGAAGCACAACAAACTTGAAATTTATGTGAGAGAGAAGGTGCATAAAAAGTAAATAAATTATATTTATGTTTTGTTTCTGTCAATACCTTCTAATTTTGTGGAGGAGTGTATTTTTTCTTGCCATTTGTGTAAAAATCATTATTATATTTTGTTGTGCATGTTTTGATGCGATCATAGTAAATTTTTGCTTACTACAAACCGCTTTTATATTTTTTTACGCATTTTTACTACGATTTTTAATTATTTGGAGGAGATATTATGAGATAAGCGTTTAAATGAAAAAACGTAGGAAAATCTATCTCCATGGAATTTAATATTTTATATTTCTGATGAAATTCATATTTCTGTTAAGAACAGAGCAAATGCTGCTAAAGGTATATCAGTAGTGTTGTTCATTCTCTTTCATGAAATAATTTATGAGGTTTTTTTTTAAAAACATTAAGCAGAAAAATAATTATCAAATAATGAGTAACCAAAAATAATTTAAAATATCTTATCTTACGGAAGACAATCGTTTAGAGCATAATTTTATTTACATCAACTTTAATATGAAGGTTATTATAAAAAATGCAATTTTCCTTTGATTATTTATCATGGAGGGGAGGAAGAGTTTTTTAGTAAATAATACTAGATATTTTTTTCTGCTTTTGTTCTTAGTGCGAAGGCTTCCGAAAAATGTATATGATGTTTACCATAAATTTTTCATTAAAATATTATTTATTAAATTCATATTGGCTATTTTTCGATTTTTTTCTCGACATTTACAATTATGCACTCGTGTTTTAATAGAGCGTAAGAAATAACTAATTTGAAGTCCCATTTCCATTCTTATCACTGCCGATTAAAGACACCTACAAATATTAGTAGCTTATTTTATACTTATTGCAATTCATTAACGGTTCTAATTTAACTGTGTTAAACTTAAAATGCATCTCAGTAGTCTGGCAAAAGAATTTCACTTTACTTACAAACAGATAGTTTTATTTGCATGTTTAAAACAATTTAAACGCATAGCGTTACTTGTAAACAGTCATTTGAGAAAACTTAGGTGGAACGAGCGAGAAAGGAAGTCTTATCTGCAGAAGATTTCAGCAGAAGGATTTCAGCCGGAAGAAAGCAACGAGGCTTGCTCGTTGCCACTCCATTTACTTCTTACCTCTATAATCGTAACTGGCTGACTGGAACAAACTTACATTCTCTTTATATCAACATTTTGAGTCTCTTCCTAAAATATTAGGAAGTTACTGAAACTAACGGACCTGTTCAAAACTTTGGGATTTTTAACAAAGTCACAAAGAGCCAAAAGTTCATTGAGCCTTCACAGCGCGATATTATCGAGTCCGATTTTAGCTTTAATGACTGGAACGTTGGCGATAAGTGTAGAATTCATGAATATTTCTGGAATGAGTGAGCCTTCATTGTATAAAATTATCTAGTACGATAGTGACTTTAATCAATGGAATGCTGATCACTTTTGTGGAACTTCTAAGGAATTCCAAAAATCTCCTTCAGATTTAGGAAGCAAATGAACTCAGTTAGATATCTCACTCGGCTCTTGCATGAGAAAGAAGGCGACTGGATTCCAAGCAATCCTGTTGCTAATTTAAAGCTTATTACTATAACTTTTAAGCCTGATTTACTTTAAAAGCAGAATATTTGAGGTTAATGTAAAAACTATAATTAGAAATTCATATTTGGCACATAGCTTTAGAGCATTATAAAAATGGAAAAAAAAATTTTTTTCGGTATTTCTTGAGTATTGCCATATCATATCTAAAATTAATATACTAAAGTTTTTTAAAGTAGCATATACATGGTGGGCACAAAAACCTCTAGTGGCCTCTTTGCTAAATTAAAGCGGCATATGAACCTTTAGCGGCCTCTCTGCTAAAATAATCGAAATGAAATTTCAGATATTATTTTCTGAAGGTATGCTCTCGAGATTGTGATGATTTAAAACA